GAAATATATTAATATCCATAGTTATGCTAATATTAGTTTCACTGCTATACTCAGTCTCCACAGTGCAGGTAAATTAGTGGCATCAATGCCACAAGGCTCATTAATTTAAATAAAGCAAATTTCTTTTTTGAAATACAGTTACTGTGGTATGCTATAACTTATGAATGAATATGGGTACAAACTCAATTTACTACTATAATAGAATACGCCAGTTTGATGGTACTGTAAAGTATATATATAATGGACGGCAGCAAAACAGTTAATTAGGCTAATTTTGTGCTTAATCACTAAAGTCTGGTGTCCGAGAGCAACAGTTAGTGTTTGATATGTTGTTCAATGGGTCTCTTCTGGGTCTCTCCTTGGCAACTGAACTGGAAAAACCTGATGAATTATCACTGAAAGGAAGAAAGTAAAAGAGAAAGGAAGGAAGAAAAGAAGGAAAGAAAGAGAAAGAAAGAAAGAAAGGAAAAAGAAAGAGAGAGAGAAAAGGAGAAAGAAAGGAAAATAGAAAGGGAAAGAACGGAAGAGAGAGAGACAGAGAAAATACTTTATACCTTTTGCGCTTGCTTTTGCAGAAAACAACAGAACATTGCTTGCACTTTGCTGGCAGCTAAGACTTTACAAATTTTAAAGATAGCAAAGGCAATGTGTCTACAGCTTGGTATTTATCTTTGTGGCTTAGCTTAGCAGAAACAGCAAACCAGGGGGCAAAGCAGATCAAATTCTTACTTCTTCCCCTGATGGTTACCCACTCTGACTTAAAAGTACTGGGTCAAGTTCATATCGGAAGCTAAAAGGGGAACTAGAGAAGTAAAAGAGGATTACCTGCATTTTACAAAAGCATTAAAAAAATGTTTATGAAAAAATAACTTTTTCACCATATTTAATGAAAAACAAAAAGTGTTTTCTCTTACTCTTTCTAACAGTATAGATGAGTAAACTGAGCTCTCAATCTTGTGATTGTCTCTCCTCCAATGCCATTAATACAAATACCCTCTAATGTATGATTTAACTTCCCCATATGTCATGATGCCACAATGAGATTAAATAACACCCATAAATAAATTCACCATCATGCCTCCAGGTGATTGTTAGTACTTATTGGGAGTTTGTTGTTTTTGTCAAGGAATGGTTATAACAAACAATCTTTTTGAAGAAAAGACTCAGCTTTGTACTCCTTTGCTTAGCCTTGTATCTTTCCTGGGTGTCATCACTGGCATTACCCTTCTGTACTGCCTTTTTTTTTTTTTTTTCTTTGCCATAGTCCGGATTCAGTCCTCCTGGTTTTAGCTGCATTTCTCTTCACCGTCATTGTTACAGTCATTGTTGCAGTTAACGTTCGTGTTCGTTTTGATTTCCTCTTCTACAGAAAGTACTCCCAGCTTATTACTTCTGACTATAGTTCTTTCCTTCTGCTGGGTGAAGTGTTTGGCAGAGCTATTGGTGTCATTAACACTGACTACTTCCTTTGATTTTCTTTCCCTTTGAAAGCATTCCTTGCACACTGCTTATGTGTTTATCTGCATTTATTTTTTGGTCAGAGTCAGAGAGAGCCATTGCTGTTGTTTTACTTCATGTAGTCTCTTTGGTTTCCATTCTTGTAGAAATTACTGTATTTTGACTCAGTGCTTATCTGTTTAGCTATGCGTCTTTCATGGAGGAAGTCAAACATATATCAACTGCTACCGTGTACTCTCTGTGTCCTGTAGAAAGCACTCAGTGCATATGTGTTTCATGGATTGTTTTTCCTACATGGAGTTCTTCACTGAACTATTGCTGCCACCAACAGTGTGCTCTGATTCTTTTTTTTCTGCAAAAAGCACACTTAGATCAGTTCTTACATGTTGTAGCTGTATCTTTACCTGAGAAAACCTTTGAAAACGTTATTGCTACTATTAACTATTTTTTTATTTCTAGTTGAAAGAAGCCTTGACTCTGTATGTGTCTACATTTTTCTCTGTTCCCCATTTCAATCCCCTAGCCTGTAACTCAGATTCTCCCTTACTGAGCTTTGTTCTGCTGGAGGTTTCTTCTTGTTAAAACGAGTAGCTTGCCTCCACCGTGAACACTTGCATGTTCAAGATTAGAGATTACTTGAGTCAACAAATTATTGCAAATGACTGGGATTCCTTTAATAGCTAACTTTTTACCAACCAATTAGTCGAATTTGACTAGAGTCTATTATCATTTTAGTTGAAATGGGGAGCATGAATGTAGATCAGAAATGGTTCCTGTGATTGTAATAAAATTAACTGGATTAACAGAGTTATGAGTGAACTGGGTACAAATTTAACCTGTAAAATACCTTGAAATAACATTTGTTATGAATTGGTCTGATACAAGTGAACTGAATTCAGCAGTGGTCCCAAGATTAGATATCGTCTGCTTTATCATTAGCAGCACACGCTCTGCATTTACTGCTGCACAGAAGCCAGACCATTTTGCTTTAGTGTTAAGGAAAACATTGATTTTCCTGCAGGAACAACTGGGAAGCTGTAAAGCAGTTTTTACTTGTTTGATTTCTTATGAGCTACCAACATTTCTGTCATTTTCAGATTTCTGCCAGGTGACCTAGAAATCATAGATGGAGAAAGGGGAGAGACTCACAAATCAAAGAGCTGGTCAATGCCTAGCCCTCCAGCTCCAAATCTCTCCCACTGCTCGAGCCATAATTACCTCAGTGACAGAAAAGTGTGAAAAAGGCAGGACACAGGATGAAGGTGGAACTGCAACAGAGCATCAGAGAAATGACAGGAAGGTGGCTAAGTGGGGCCAGAAAAACGATTTTGGGTTTGGAAAAGGTTGGAAAGGTTGCCTTAATCTAATGGCTTGGCATGGCTTTTCTCAGTTTACCGAATTTGATCTTGTTGTGACACTTGGCTGCCATACGCCACATTAGCTGTGGTTGACTGTGCTGGCACATTTATCTCTGTGGCAGCTTTCTAAACTTCATTGTTTCCTGAACCAGAAATCTTCTAGTCCTTTGTGTAAAGCGATCCAGACCAATCACAGTAACAAACAGCTCCTTCACTCACACAAGCGCATACACACAACTACTTCCCAAACGGTTAAGCAAACAGAATGGGCATTTTCTGAATGCTTCAACTGAACCTTCAAACTGAACTGCAACCAGTTCAGTTAAAAAAAAAAAAAAAGACTGAAAAGTGATATTGATTAGTTGTCAAAACAAAAAGATGGGTTCAAGACATTATTTTCTTTAAACTGCACCCATGGAAGGTAGAAACACTATGTTGAAATACAACGTGCTCAAATCACAGCCAGCCACAAAGCTTCCTGTGGTGTATTACATTAAAAAAGTGACAAAAATATCATATGCTTTTTTCTTTTATTTTCCCCTGCTACATTGACCTCAATCATATGTAAAACAATACAGGCATTATCTATTAACATAACATGGAAAAAGACCTGGAAAAATACAGACACATGGTCCGAGTTGCTGATATTCAAGGACGTTACGTGACATGCAAGTAATTATTGTTTTAATTTTGAGTAGATGGTCATATATGCTTTTGACAACAATTAATGGTTTATTTTTAGGTTGGCTGGTCTTTTTATTTTATTTTTTTTGCCTTTTGACAGAAAAACACTAATATTTACCTAAATAACTCCAAAAATACCGATGTGAAATAGGTTCAGAAATCTTTGATGTGGAAAACTTGACTCTGCGGTTGACCTCCTTCTAAAGCATTCAGATTCAGCATTTTATTAAGTAAAATAACCTTTTATAAAGTTTCCAAAACGGAAAATAGAAACTGTGTGCTATCATCAGTGAACCTATTTAGAAAATATCTAGTTGCTGAGAGTGTTGTTGAGTGAATGTCGTTGAGTCAGCTCAGTCACAAGGACACATAGCACAACTTCCACTCTCTCTACAGCACTGACAGTTATGCAATGGCTGCTCTGATGGAGAAGTTACAACCACCTCCAAACTTGATAGTATCCATTCTGATTGTGGGAAATGAAAGAATTTGTCTCTAAAAATGTGGGCAATCAGTACACTTGACAATTAAATCTCGACCCTTTGTAGTGAGTAGACATGGTGAAATCCTGACTTTTCTAACTACGTTAACCGGAATGCTGAGTTTGGTGTGATGTCAAACCAAACTCAGAGATTTGACTTCCAAGGTAACTGGAACGCAACATCTCCCCTCTCTGGATTAAACCACTCCATGGGAGAAGCAATTAAAAATCATCTGTTGACTCTTTCCTTCCAATTTTGAAGAGTGTAACAGTGACAGGAGACTCTCAATTGATACTTTGCTCGTTTCTCCTACTACTCTCTTATTACACATTATCTGCTGCTATTGCTGCCATTGAGGTGGTATTGTCTTTTTGTGATGTCTCTCCATAGAAGTTACATCTCGCCTGTTATTCTTTCTTTGAGCTTTTGCTGCCAAGAACTTCACATTCTCTCTCTGCAGATGACAAAGTTAGCCATGGCTTTCTGCGTTTTACATTGTCTTGCTGCTAAGCAAAGCATTTGAAGGCGCAATTACTCTCACTAACTATACACTTAATTTTTCATCCCATTCATTTTATTTCTGGTTTACTGCTTTTTCCTTTAGCTGTGTTTATCTTTTAGACAAAGTCAGTAAAAGAGCTTCTTCTGTCATCAACTCTTTATTCTTTCTTTAAAATGGAAGGTGCTTCTGAGCCAGTTCTTTTGGTTATATGTCTGTTGTGTCTTTTTAAAACTTCATTCAGTAGTGGCAGATGGCTGATCACACTGTGGCAGGTTTTGCTGTATTTTTTTTCCTGTGAAAAGGAAGTTTTCTGTTTCACTGTCAACAAGTGTATGGTTTGTTTGAGGGATTGCTGCAAAGTTAATGACTCAGTGCATTTATCTGCTCACTGTTGCAACATACTTGTTCAGGACAGAAAATTGGTACAAAGTAATTGACCCGTTGCAATTGTCTGGGCTTCCGTAAATGGAAAATTTTTACTAATTGGCATAATTAGCCAAAGTTGTGTGGACTGTTTAATAACTAGGAATTTCTGTAATTGACTGGTGGAGACAGGCAGCGGCCACTCCACGACCCTACAAGAACAAGTAGGAAGTGACAATGGGAGGATGGCTGCATTGCCTTTGCATTTCTTCACGCTAATTGATTGTCTTGAGTACATAATATTTCTGGATGTAAACTAGAACTATTTTTTTCTCTCGCTACACATGTTGTTTAATCGAGATAAAAGGAACTGAATTGAATCATGATCCACAATTATAGCCCATTTTGATGGACTGGCGACTTGACCAAATGCCACTGTAGATAGACATACACCTCTCATTTTCTAGTTCTTGTTAATTGTGTGATCAGAGTTCCAGAAGAATCAGAATACGCACACAACATTTTGAAGAAGTTTATTCGTATGCTGCTGGATGAATTGTCTATGCACATTTTTGTTGTAGTTTTCATTCTATCAAACAACGGAAAAAGAACTGGAAAAAAGCATGAAGTCTTTCTTGTGTTGGTCTTATTTGTGGTTCTTGCATCCTCTCCTCGCTGTCTCACACATAAAAGAGCTGATGTCTAGTGGGCAGTGGTGTAGATATTCACAACTTTATCTGTGAATGCATGTGGAATAAACATGTCCGAGAAAGGAAAAAAAAATGGCAATCTCTCTTCCTCTTTTAAAGATTACATACAAATTGTATGTAGAGATATTATATTTTGAATAGTGCAGTCAGTCAATGCATTTTTCATCAGATTAATCACACTCTAGGTCTGTACTTAACAATTAATCACTATGCTTAAATTTGTAAGCTCAAGTGAATATGCATGTTTTCAAAAAATGTTTCAGAAAATGTTTTATTGTCTCAAATCAAAGGTGAGGGGATGGTGAGCTACTGACATGATTGGATGCCCCCTGGTCTGTGATTGGTGGGGGTAGCCGTTCTTTGACCTTCCTCTGCCTCTTCTCCCTGCTGCTCTGGCCCCTGATCTGGGGCTGGCCCACTGGCCTGGAGGGGGGGTGGAGTGGACCTATTGGGAGACGGGGTGGCTGGTGGGTTGATTCAGGATCAGGTACCTGGCTGACATGGGCTTATGTGTTGTATCCTGGATGGGGTTTGGCTGGGTGGCTGGTCAGTCTCTGTGGTTTCCTCCTCCATTCACCGCTGCATCCAGGAGTTGTTGGTGCAGCTAGTTTGGACACCTGGGCAGAACATGGTTACAAAACAAACAAACAAACAAACAAACAAACAAACAAACAAACAAACAAACAAACGAAACAACAACTATAATTTCAGATTTTAAGCAATTTAGTTTATGTTATTTTGAATATTTGTTTGATAGTTTGAATTTCCTTTTGGTTGGTAGTTTGTAGATTAATTTTGCACTTTTGTTTGCTTGCGTTAGTTAATGAAAAATTAGACGTGCTTTTCATTTAACGATTCAGTTTTTCTAAATTTTGAAGTGCTGATTTTAGAAAAATTAGGATCCTGAGAAATATAAAGAAAGCTTCTGATTCATTTATTAACAAGAATTAGGTTTTCATAATGGGATAGAAAATGATTTACCTTTCAGATTGAGGCTAACGTTGCTTCACCTCAATGAAGAAAATAAATCTGTTTCTGACAGTTGAACTGACATGTGCACCACTGGTTGTTGTCTGCAAGCATTTTGTAATAAGAATCCCTTTGGTAAGGCGACATGGTGTGGTAATAAAACTAATTACATATCTCTATTAGTATTTTATTTCCTAAATGGAAAATACAATGTACATAGCAAGATTCTCTCGGCCCAGTCATCAGTACATCTGAATGAAGCTCTGACTGTCATTAACCAAAGAATCTGAATGATAAAACACCACTGATTGAACCGACCGAAGACCTTCGTATTACTGGTTTACAGATGATTATAGCTTCTACGGCTCTTAAATGAATAGATCGTGTCAAAGAGGAACAATAAATGGAATGATGTGCTCTTGAGTATAAGAAGTTTATCATTGCTGGATTTGTTTATTGTCTTCACCTCATCCTTCCTCCAGGCAGCAGAGTCACGTCTGGCAGCCTAATGGCTTACTATCAGCAGCAGAGAAGTGGCAGAGGACCCACTTAAACACAGGCTGAGCTAAGAAACGGATCTCCTGTGTGAAGAATGTCTGGCTGTCTTCCCATGTCATGTAGTGGTGCTGATGGGTTGATAAAGGGTTCACCAATGTGATCCCCCCCTTCCTGTCAGATTCACGATCAGTCAGACCTTTTTTAAAGGAATCTTGAGGATAATTGTGACAAACTGCCAAGCCCCTATGCATGGGGTCAGATTTCAGTGGGACAGGGCCTACTTCCTGGCTACAAAAAAAAAAACCCGACTGAGGACTCAAGAACAATTTAAAAACTTTTACATGAACAGGCTGGTTACTCACTGGAGACTTATTTATTTATCATTATCCTTAGTAAGATAAACATGGCACAGAAAGTCTGATGACTTTGGATAACAAGATGTGATAAAGCAAGAGGCCTTGCTCGGAGATTTGTTCGTTGAGCTAAATGCTGTTGAGATGTTTTCAGTTTGTGACAGTTACTGTTGGCTGATTAACTGACAGCTGCTCTCCTTTACGAAAGTATCCAGCCTGACTTGATGGCAAAAGGAATAAAGTTTATTGCAAAACAATGCCCGGATGAAATGAACTGGTGAAAATAAATACTACATCTGTTTCTTTGCAGAATAGTTAGGAGTAATGATAGACTTCAGAGGATTGAACAGCAGAGCAGCATAAGACACTGAATACACAAAAACCTTCAGACCAAAAGCATGTCGTTAACAGATGATTTCCCAAGCAATGGTTTGTTTTGGGGCCTAATGTATCTGAGCAATGTCAACATCTAGGTTCACATGTCAGCGCTGTTGTATATTTGAACCTTTATACCCCTTTGATTGATGATACCGACGAATGACATGGTAGACTTTAATTTGTGTCGTCTTTTTTTTTACATGTCAAAACAACCTGATACGCGGACCATTCCACGTGTTTGAGATTAGTCTAATTGTAGTTACAATTTAAACAAATAAAAAAAGATCTATTTTTTTCTCCCTCAAGGGTGGATTTCACTTTCATTATAATGTGTTTCAGGCAATCTTTGATGTCCTCATGCAGATTCAGCCTTCCCACACTCATTTGCTAATTTCCACAGTTTATAAGTTGATTTGCAGCAAATACTGCCACAGTGGAATTGCACTATTGACCTGGTCTGCTGCTTAACACAGAGGAGGTGAAAGCAATTTTACACTTTGCCCACAGAGACTGTGAATCTAATTTGAAACGTCCTGTGTCTTTTTTTTTATTTTTATTTTTTTTATTTTTTTTTATTGTTTGGTTCATTTATAAGAGGCACATGGGGATTAGTGGATATCTAAGCAAAGGGAAAGCAGAATTAAGTCAAGTATGGGTTTTATTCAGATTCATTATTTTTGTCCTTTCCAATTATTACAAATATTTATGGGAAAGAAGTTAGCGACGGAGGTTAAATGAATGATTATTTACATAAAATGTAGCTTGTGAAGGTCAATTTTACAAACATCTATGGAATTACATAATTGAGACAATTAATGCATTTTTTTTATTAAAAGAAATACAATAAAAAACACATTTGTATAAAACATATATATGTATGTATCTACATAGAGTAAATCAAATCATGGTCCTTCAAGTTCAAAAATGGGAAATGTTTTTTGTCCACAGCTTGTACAAAATAACATGAAGTTCACTATTAAAAAAAAAAAATCAAACCTTTTAGTTTTAATTTGATTTCTCTCAACTTTTCTGGGGGTTAGAAGGGGTGGGGCTGAAATACAGTGACATGTATTTGGTAAATGAGAAACACAAAGCTGGTGCTACTTTTCGCAACAGTGCTTTGCAAAAGTATTCATACCACTTAATTTATTTTGCATTCTGCAATGTTACAACCAGAAGCATCAATGTGCTTTATTATATTTTCATATAATTGTCCAAAATGAACTAGAGCATAATTATAAATTTGGGCAATGATAAATGTTTTCAATGGAATCATGTTGTGATCTGTGTTTCTGCGTAGTTATTTTGAGATTTTCTGTCTAGTCCTGTTGTCCCCTGAGTCTCTGTGCTGTCTTGATTGATCCCAGCTGTGTCTCGTTCCTGTGATTACCCTCCCAGTGTATTTAGTCCCACCTGTTGTCTGTGTTCCTCGTTGAAGCTCTCCAGTTGAACTGTGAAGTCCTGGTTTGCTTAGCTCTTGTGTTTCAGTCTTCAGTTATCAGTTGCTACCGGTATCAGATGTTTGCTAACTCTCTGCCGTGCTGCCTGTTCTGTTCTGCTGTTGAGCCTTCATCATTAAATTCATAATCATCTTCATCATCACAACCTGGGTCTCTGCATTCATTCTCACCACCACCAACCACACCCCCTGACAAATCATCAGTGTCTTTCCACAAGCAATGTAGGGAACCCACTGGTATACCTTGAATTCTGTGATCACAAGAATTCAAGATATACCAAGAAATAACAATGGCTTTCTTCATGATAGTTTTCCTATTGTGGACAAATTTGTGGAGTGCACAACTAACAACTGTTTCATTTTGGTTTTCTTCAGAAACTTCCCTCATCTGCAGCTGCTTCAAAGATTTCGTGGCCCTCTTGGCCCAATCTTTGCCAAGTGTTCTCCTAGCCCAGCTTGTCAGTTTAGGTGAATGGCCATGTCTCAGTAGATTTGCAGTGGTGGCACACTCTCTTTATTTTGGATGATGGATTGAACAATGTCTCCTGACATGTTCAAAGCTTGGGATACTGTTATATAACCTAATCCAGTTTTAACTTCTCCATATTTTTGGGGGTTGCTCTGATTTTTGTTTGCTATTGCTCTCTAACAAACCTCTGTGGCCTTCACAGAACAGCTAATACTGAGATCAAATTACATGTTTAGTTCCTTCTACCAGGAAAATGGGGAAGAAATACAAATAACACACTTATAGGACTTATAGGAGTATTATAAGAAGGACACATGGGTTACTTGCACACTTGCCACGTTAGAAGCTCTCGACTTCTTAATTTTTTTAAGAAGTTTAAATACAATACAATAGCACATTGTATTGTATAACCAAATAACCTACTGAATAACCTACCAAATAACACCTTTTTTTGTACATGTTTTGATTTAGTAATGAGAGCAAGTACTAATTCTACTTATTTCTTTCAACTGGCTCTACTACCAATTTAGATAAAACTTAAAGATTAGCCATAAGAGTGGAGAGATGGTTTTTGCTGAATACACAACTCTTTTTTTTTTTTTTTTTTTTTTTTTCCCAATGAACATAAAAATTTAAGGCTAATTTTGAAAGGGTTTCTACACTATTTTATAAAACATTTATGTCGAACCAATACAGCAGAAGATGAAGTGTTGGAAAAAGTAACATGGTGCAGTGTGATTTTTAAAAAATGGTTGCTTATGGAGCATGTTTTCTGAAATCGCAGCCAGTGCAAACGCATGCACTGCTTTGCTCCTATGTAAACATCAGAAGCAAAACAGATGGGTCTGAATCCAAAGGTCATGTTTGTCATATCACAATTGGACTTATGATGCAGACATATGCGGCGGCTCTTTAGAGCTTATGAGTCATGTTGTCTGGGGTGAGAGCTAAATGTTAGCCTTGCTTGTAATCCGCGGCGTCCAAACCCCTTCGGGAGACACTACATACACTTGGCTGTATAAATACATGAGCACTAACTTCAGCCCCACAGCTTGTTAACACACTGAGCTGCTGCAGTGGTTTGGTTTATGATGGAGACATAATTTATGGTCAGCATTTCTTTGGATTTTATATTTTAAAGGTAGCTTCCTGGGTAGGTAGTATGAAAATGGCAGGTTGATGTTTTGATTATGTAGTATTTTCAAACTCTACATCAGAAGAGAAAGGATTGAACTATATAAAATATGGAGGATTTTAGTCAAGTATGTTTGTAATGTGTTGCATTTACTTTTCCAATGCTGGATTCTTTTCGATAATCAAATATAAGGCAATAAATTATGTTCCCTTCTTTGTACAATTCGACATTAGTACACATTAAACACTAGCGTGTTTCTGCACTAACCTCTTGCTAAGCATCTGCAGTTCAGGATTTAATCATAATCTATGCATATCCTCAATCCCTTTCACAAGATCACTCCATAATCTGAACGA